TAGCACTCTAAAAATATATCACAAATGAATTTTTAAAAATCGAGTACTTTATCAAACACTTACGCAACTATTGGTCCCACAGCTAAGTAAATAAGTAAGAAATAAGTAAAAATACCGAGACCGACGGCTTATTGTACACTCCTATAGGATGATAAGACCACCTTCTTTCAAACTGAGGGCTGGTAAAGCTCTTATATAACCAAAAAACAATTCGAATGACTTTGAACGAACTTAGGACTTTGTGATCTATAGTGATTGCACCACTAGACTAAGGGGGAATTCGGAACTACATACGCAGGCTTAATATACTAATGTTACTAATATATAAAACTGAAGAGTTTTTTTTGTTTGTTTGAAAGTGTTATTCTCTGGAGCTATTCTGGATTCGAATTGAAAAAAATCTTTTTGTATTAGTTAGAGCATTTATTGGGGAAGGCTATAGGCTATAAAACATTGCACTGCAACTAATAAATGCGAAGAAACAGTGGGAAATGTGAAAAATATTAAGAGAATTAAATTCTTGTGTTGGTTACCGTTACGTACGCTGCAAAAACTGTTCAAGATACCCATGAAAGAATGATTCCTCTTTAAATGATCTAAAACAATGTCCTCGACAGGATATGCCTATGTTTAAGATTAACTTCGGCAAGCAAGAACGGGATGTGGACGACGTCGTGGGTAAATTTGTAGAGCTGAACAGGAGGTTTGCAAAAACAAAAACTTTGATGCCCAAAATCTACGCGGACGAAGTCGCTGACATAGCTAGTTTAATAAATATGTAGGTACATAGTGTAGGTAACAGTAGAATTGTAAAGATCTAATATTTAATCTTTGGGAAGATGTGAGCATACAATGCAAAGGCATCGCATTGTCGGGTGTCAATTACAACTGGCTATCAAGTGTCCCTCCCAAGACCCAGGATCCATCGTTTCTTGTCTCTTCATGTTTATCTCGTTTAGTGCTAATTACGACAAACTTAAATTTCATACATAATAAACTTAAGTACTTAGCAATTTATTTGTCTATTATATATAAAGCTGCCAAAGGCAGAGTGGCCTAACAACAGAAAAAAAGAATTTTCAATAAGGTGAAAAAAAATCGCAATTAACTTAAGCGAAAATGAATTTAACTCTATTATTTATTTCAATTATGTTAACAATATCCGGTCACTTATGGAACAACATTTTTAGACTATGAAAATATATATTAAATAAGTCAAGTCATAAAAATTGCAGTTAGGCTTCTAGCAGCCTCATATCATCTAGGAAAAGAAGTTCACACGAGTAGTACACATTGAAATTAAACACTTTTGACGGTTTAAAATGTTAAATATATTAATTGACTTATTTTTAACTACGTGAAGTGTCGTTTTTAAAACACAAGATTTTATTTAAATAAAGTTTCTCTAATCAAAAACATAGCTTTAATATTATAATACTAATTTATTTAGTGATAGTAAAGAGTAATTTTTGGCTTTGATATCAACTTTAAAACTTTTAACAATATTTTTTAACGTCCACCCGTGACCACAAAACTTAAAAACAATAAACAAAAAGTGTTCTATTCAATATGTAGCCCAAAACAAGTTTTTATATCAATTGTGGTATTTTTCGATTTTCGTTGTATTAATGTGTTACCTATGGTGCAATATACTAAGTTGCTACTCTAGATCTGTTGAAAAGAAGTAAACTCAAAAGAAAAAAATAAATATTAAAATACAATTCAATAAATAGGAGTCCTATGGAGATCTAAGATGGTGATGATAAGAAGATCAGGTGATAATATAAAGGTTACATGACCGACACACGAGCGACCTTGGCCCAATATGCGCGCGCGCAATGCTGCAATGTCGCTGACGTGCAAAGTGCACGCGGAAAACATTCTATTTAGGTTCAATGTTGCATTATGACTTACACATTTAATAAGCTCCGAATAATAACTAAATATATTACATTATTTAATTTTTTGACATTTTAGAATCCTAAATTTCCTAATTTAACGACAAATTACGTCGAAATTCGTCGATATTCGATTGAATAGATCAATCATTTATAAGCGTAGTAATAGTAATTTATTTACATCAAATTAAGCACACGAGAAGACTCATTTAGATTTTTGTAAATTTTAAAAATAGTCAAATAAGCTAAGTAATTTGAAACTTGTATTTTTTTTATTTCTATCCGCATTACAAGACAGAAAATTTAAAAATCGAAAATAAAGTGAAAAAAAATTCGACTCGAGCATTCGACTTGAACCGGCATCATCAGCGTTCCGTGTTGTTGCTCTGAAGATGCCGGTTCAAGTCGAATGCCCGAGTCGATGTTTCTTTTCAATTTATTTTCGATTTTTAAATTATATAGTGCCTTCATGTGCAACACCATGTGTCAATAACATGTAAAAAATATTAAAGTTTTCAAAGACAGAAGATATGGGTAAATTTAAGGGTATAATAATTCTTATATGCTTCTTCAAAAATTAGTTTAATAGAAGATTGAAATAGGTTTTTACTTATATATTATTATATAGCGGTTGCCTGCTAAGGCCTACGAAGTAAGCATATCACACACGCTGCAAAAATTACTACTAATCTGATAATTTTAAACATGTCGTTAAGTTATAGCATCAACTATGTGTAGAGTTATAATATTAAAGTCGTTTTATTACCATTTGACACACTATATGTAATAAATAATAAATCAATCAATAATAAATCGTTTGAAGAATGTAAGACACGGGCGGGACTTGAATTAGCATCTACAGTATTCCGTGGTGTTGCTGTAACCAAAAGCACGAAACCGACCGGCCCTTGACGTAATTTGTTCTACAATCTAAAGTAGATTTTCAACATTTAACTCTTCCACAATTATTCTAGGAGCACGAAAACGATATGTTTTCTTTCAAGGTATAGTTTACAAATGCATTTAAGTTAACATGGTTTGCTTTTTAAACTCCGCGTAATCTAATGCTCAACATTGTATGCTCTCGATTTGGTTTCAGTCTTGACGTCTATTACGGGAGACCGGAATTATTCGCATGCAATCGCTGAAATTTCAAATATCCGATTATAGAATCGTCTGTGTCATGCACTAGGGGAACATTATCGATGCATCGATTTTTTGCATACAAATCGAATGTAATTCAACCGTTTTCGATGATCACGCGAAAAAATATACAATGATACCACCAAATACGCTTGAATAGGCTATAGCTTTATAGAATAAACATAGGTAGGTTTTGTAATTTGTATTATGTACACATCTAAACATTAGCTGCGCTAGCGACTTCGTCTGCTGACGTTCGTCTCTTTATAAATTTAAGCTGTTAACCCACGACATCGGTCTTGCAGTTTAATCTTAAATGATATACATATAGTTTGTGTGTGTGAACATTTTTTTAGATAACTTAAAGACAAATCATTCGTCAATATATTTATTATTTGGGTATCTTAATTGTTTTCGGAAACCCGCGTTTTTTTTGCAATTTTCTCGCTCCTATTAGCCAGTGCAATATTTTATAGCCTATTGCCTTCCTCGATAAATGGTCTACCTAACACAAAAATATTTTTTTCGAACGCGAAAATTAGCGCGTTCAAACAAACAAACTCTTCAGCTTTATATATTAGTATAGATGCTTTTTTTTTATGGACATTCTGCCCTTCTAGTTAGTTAGATTAAGTCAACTAAAACCAAAAAATTGCAACACACAATTATTTTAGTTGGTTAAAGTATTATCTTTTTTAAAGCTTTCATTTCTACTTTCTAATTAGATTAAAACAATTTGACGACACGGTCGGGCTTGAATTGGTGCATAATTTGTTGGAGCGCGGAACGCTGTGGACGCCGGTTCAAGTCCCGTCCGTATGGTCAATTATTTTAATGTAAATAGATAATTTAAAATATTCTCGTTAGTGTTGATGAGTCTATTGATAGTCGTAACATCATTGGGATCTACTTTTAAAGACAATTGCTTTCTTTTGCTGAATTAACAAGAAAACATTTATTTTAAAAACAATTATATATATATATATATTTCTTAAACCCATTTTGTAAAGTTGATTTTAAAATCTATTAAAAGCGTAAAATAATGAGCTGATATTAATTTTATTACGTGATAGCAAATAAACTTGCCCAGAGAAACCGAAATACAAAAATAAAAAATAGACTCTGTTAAAAATATAAACGACAATCGTTAATGGGGGAAATTTGGGCCAGTAGACACGTAACGCAGTAAATTAAATCGACCTCAAACTTTCGCCACAAATTGTCGCGAGTCCCGTGACGTCGCCGTAGCGTGGACACCGATGGGGTTATTGACATCGCAAACTATTTCCGTAATGCCAAAATAAAAGCGCGCGAATCGCACATTACTTACAACTTGACACATGCGAAGTATTTTGTGGGTGCGCTCGAAGTTGCGCATTTTCATTGTGTTTTATGTAAATTGTGATTTGATTATCGGGCGTAAAATGGTAAACAATAAATTGTAGCGTCGGCTTGTGGCCTGGGACGGTCTCGTGTTTCATTTTGAGCAAAGGAACGTCTAAAATTACCCCGCACGCACACACACAGCGTAGCCAATCTCTACACACTCACACAGTGGCAACACCTATATCTATTATCAAAACATCCAACGTGTCTGGTTACAGCGATCCGAGCGCGCTTCAAATATCGCATTACACACTTTAATGGCTGGAAAAGGCCTCGAAAACGTTATATTACACGCATTTTATTGTATATTGCAAAATGTAATTAATATTGTAACCGAACACTCGCCCAATGATTTATGCGAAGAGTTGCGAGGACCGGGTTCGGAACTCTCTCGCAATAACCATGAGAGTATCATTTTAAAAATACAACACGTATACTATTACTACGAAATGCGAAGATAAAGCAGGCGGTCTGCCAGTCCGATGTAACCCTGATACCAACGGAAATAGATATCAAAGTAGAAATACAATTTGAATTATGTTTCTTTTAGACAAAAATATTCGAAGGAAATACCTTAATTTCTTCTTCGTTTTCTTTTTTCACAGGTGCCCTCGTTGGGGACGTCGGATTTTTTGATGTTTTGTCCATTATGATTTCACAAAAATAAGCATATAATAGCACATAAAGTTCTTTCGCTAAAGTTCTCGCGGAGAAAATAAGTTGAGCGTGTCTATGGAAACATTAAAAGCGGGTACACCCTACACACGACTAGAGCGCGCTGTGTTTGTAGCGCGACTGTACTGTGTAATAACTGTAGTCGACACTCCACAGTGTATTATGTAAAAAGTATGCTTCGTTTCGAGGGCGTAAAGCTCCAACTATCTGATGAATGGGCGGAGCTTTAGGGCGAGTTTTTGGGCGGCAAAAAATATTTCCGAATATTTTTCATAGTTAGTAGGAAGTAGGTTTCAGTTGTAATTGTAATGTGTGTATTGATAGCAATGGAAGATTGATATCAATGCATATATTAATATTTTTAATAATTAGATAAGATTATTAGAAATTCTTCATGTGATAGTAGTTTTCTAACTTTCACACTTAGATTTTTACCTTTATTGACATAGACCGATTTTTATTCTCATGCAAACAAAATAGCTGCTGTTCTTTGTCCGCAAAAATTCGTATATATGCGGACATTTTTTTAAATTATGGGTATGACTAAACAGTTATGTGTTGAAGTTTAAATTCAACTAAAATCATGTATGTATTACATAAATTATTATGAATACATTTTTAAGATCTTAATGAATGTTCAATTATTAAAAATTTAAAAGACGTGAATTACTTACAAAAGTTTTTTTTTAATAATTACTAAAAAGATCCTTTAAAAAGTAAACATTCAGCGCTAAAGTATTTATGTGAAATATAAAGAAAACTTTATAAATCTTCATCCCATATATATTTATGTTAATTTAATTAAACGAAAAATAACCAAATTAGGTATTTCAATAGTTTTTTGGCCACCACGTTATTTAAGTACAAAGTTTAAATAATCGTTCAAGGATGAATATACAATATATAGATTGAATAAAATTATGCTATTTAGAATTACTACCTCTGTAAAATGAACTGATACAAGGTTGTATATAGCAAAAAATAATTAGTTAATAAACATAACTATAACATAAAGAATAAAATAAACCATTAGCATTATTTGGACTTCGCCTTTGTAATAAAGTGTTTAAACTTGTCCATTATGTGACAACTGACAATGACGTATTAAAAAGTCAACAAAGAGCAAATTGTCAGCAGTATTTCGATATGTTGTGTGTAAATACGCTTTAAATTGTTAATAAATATAACTTCTGTAATAATTTTAATTTTATAATGATATAACATGCAGACAGTATTTGTTAGATGTTAGTTTATTATCTTTATTAACATCCGTTACTTTTAATGGTTTACATATGTACCTAAAGGGTTAAATGTAATCTTATGACCTTAGCTGTGAAGTATGACATCAAAACTACCAAAAAATGCTCTTAGCTTAAAACAAGTAAGTCAAGTAAACATAGCCTGTGCTACTTGTAAATTAATATATTATGGTAAAATTGGTTAAATAAAGGCCTTATTTCAGTTTCTCCTTCGACAAGAAGTACTAAAGCTTTACAGAGATATTTTTCGAACATTAAGAAAAGTCCCTGATTCGGTAACACGAGAAGATTTAAAGGAATGGGCTAGAACTGACTTTAGAAACAATAAATATCATAATGATGAAGCATCCATAAAATCAATGTTGTATTATGGGAGGAAATCACTAAGGGATCTACAAAGATCCCTCGCCCTTAGTGAAAGCTAGTGAAATGTTTTGGTTTGTGGAGTGATTATATATTAGGAAGTTTTATAGCATATAACTGTTGGCTATTAATAAGAAATAAAACAGAGACTTTATAAAGCTTGGTATAATTGGTAATGCTTGGATCAAGATTACATATATACTACTTAGGTGACTAAAATTCCCTATTTTCAAAAAGCACTAATAAAAAAAAACATTTTTACATATAGTTTCTACTATCTTGAAACTTAGTTTCAGCTTTGACTAGACAAGTCTCAATAATCAAGTTCATCTAAATAAATAGCCTTATAAAATAAGTATACTAAAATGGGTATTGTAACACCTGTTCCTATAATGACAGTTAACACAGTGCAAAATGTCACAAATTCTCCATTTTTATTTAAAGCCTTTGCTAACATTTGGATAAGATTTCTGGCTATATGATGTCCATCTGTTCCATAACATGGTATTATATTTAAAAATCCAATACCCATTGTAAATATAAAGATATACCTAAGAAGTTTTTCAAACTGTGATGGGGAAAAGAAGGAAAATATTCCAAGTCTAGGAAAGTACTGATCCACAAATACAGTCTTATAGATGTCATATGGCAAACCCAAGAATAATACTGCATTATTATCTTTCCTTTCTATGATGATAAAATATGTGTGGTTATTGAGGGATGGCTTCAAACAGTGCATGTTTCTAGGACAAGCATATCCACCAACTTCAGTACACTTAATTAGTTTTTCCTTTACCATATCTCTTGGTTTCAAACAAGAATACTGTCCAGGTAAAACTGAGTCAACCACTAACTTTGGTTCCATATACTCAAAACAAAAGCTATAAAGGTCATCTTTTCTGCAACATTCAACAACTCCACTCTCCTTCAATGTTTCCATCATAATTTCATCATTTTGTGCAATAAACTCAGCACTTGTACATATTCCAAACCTGTCATGAGCAACATGTAAACAGTAGGACCAATCATATGAATCCTTTATATCACAACCATTGATAGTTCTTATAACATCATCTTTATCAAGGCCTCTGGCATCTTTTAATGGTGAGTCTGATGAGAAATCTGTTACCCTAACACCTATATCAGTTTCATAGGCAATACTAAATAGAACTGGAGCTGTGAAGAATAAACTCATAGCAATAAAAGCTAGAACCAAGTTGTGCCATACTCCTGCACAGTAAATTTTGAGTCTTTTCATAGCAGGCAAACTATTTAAATGTTCAGTGTTGAGATGAACAAAAGCTATTGGTATTATTGCAAAAATATGAACACCAACAGCTAATACTTGGACATCCTCATGGGATGCAGCCATAGCATGGCCTAATTCATGAAAAATTGAGCTAGATGCGATAGCTAAGAAGTATAACCAAAAATCTGAAGCTGGAATATTTACACCAGGTAACATTGCCTTCACTTCAGGAACACCAGAGACATGTATTGTTTCATTTAAATGTTCAATTATAAATGATGCTAATGTCCATATCACAAAAGGCAAGAATAATCCTACAGTTAAATAGTATCCAAATGTGAACCATTTCCTTAAAACTCGATTTAGATTCTTGCTCCACCTGTATATACACCTGTTAAATGCAGCAGTGGTCCAAGTTAAATTTAAAATACCAACTTTAAGGCCTGTTCCTTCCAAAAAAGCATAATATGGGTAGTGCATACAGCTCTGCAAATCAAAATTTGAGTTACTGAAATCTAATTATTGTTATAAAAAATTAAAATGTTATGTTTATTAAATGACAAACCTTAAAAAACGAATCAAAAAACCAAATAACAACATAAAACGCAAACACAAATGAGCATAGTATTGTAAAAGACATTTTTTTGTCCCTTTTTTAACCAACAAAGTATAATATCAAGTTCTTGTTTATAAATTCAAGCATTATGCTTTGATAAACATGGATATTAACATTTTAAGTAATTTCTACTTGTATACATATTGTGCTTTTCATATGTTTAGTCGAAACAAGATCAAAAAATATTTATTTACACAATATTTTGAATCCGATATTCAATGTTATAGTAGAATCACTTGATATCACTTGACAGGATAAATAATCGTTATATTCCTCTATTCACAACATAACCAATTCAATGCTTCTAGTTTATGTCAGACGTCAGACGTTTTTATGTCAGTGTCCATTAGCTAAAATCAAAGGAGGTTGAATGTGAATGTTACATCTGTGGTAAGATGTAAGATCTATCGCCTATCGACCATCAATAAAAGTGTTACTAATATACTTATAGAAGGTGCTAACGATACTAAAATTCGTTAACATTGTAATTACTTGACATAGGTATATAAAATAAGTGTGAGCAAGTAAAATCGAATAAATAATTGTGAAAGTTTATCATGTGAGTGATGAGTTGTGACGAAGATGAAAGTGGACCTTTTGTTGTGTTCTTCTTACCAACGGTTCTTGGCTGTCTAACTATACTCTTGGCTCGCCGGTGGGCATATTCACAAGTTAACAATACTTCGTCTACAGCAATTTCTAGACGAAGGAAAATTATCAAGGATCCCCTAATTAAGCGTCCTTTACCTCCCGTAGCAACAAAGATGGTAGCACCGAAAAAACTATCAGCAACTGTGAAAAAAGTAAGAAGATTCCTGTTTATTTAGAATTATATATTTTAACGTCAGTTTCTGTTGATAGATTCTTGTTCATAATATATATCTGAAATTTTTACAGGGTACACTTATGGCAGAAGAGGATGTAAATGGAAAACGAGTAAGAACTCGGTTGTTGTCCACTACTCCAGCACCAGAGGTTAAATTAATTGAGGGCCCTGCACCACCAAAGCATATACCATTTCCGTACATACCACAGGATGGCGAATTGTTGTTTGAAATCATGACCTTTATATTTTTGACAGTGGCCACTGGATTACAATTCTTAAATTTGTACCGTACGGCTTGGTGGTTACCAACATCTTATACAACGCAAGCCATGGTGAGAAATTATTTGTCCAAATTATAAATAGGCTAATGGCAAATTTATTTTTAAATAAGAACTTTAATAAAGCATGTACAACCCTGACTTAAAAAACTAAAATTAACAATAATAAGGTTGCTAGATGGGGTACAGATTTTACATATTATTTTTATTCTGTTTACAAAATGCTGCTTATTCAACATTAATAAAACTTAAATGATTTCTAGAATATATTTTTAAATATAATTTATTTTATTTCAGCACTTTCATCTAGTGGATCCTCATGTTGTGATGTTTATCTTAGGTATCATATGTCCAAGATTATTATTAAGTGCAAGTGTTGCCATCATAAGATTGTTTGTAGCGCCCAAAATGATGCCTCATGTTATTGTCGCAGCCAGGTTAGTCCAATCTTTTCAATACTAGATGCCTTATTACTTCATCCACCTCTAATTGTATTATATATATATATATATGTCTATTGCTTGTAATTTAAATAAATTGGTTTAAAACGCGATATATTAGGTAAACTTATTTTTTACTTTGACCCAGCTGGGATGAGTCTTCCTGTGACCAGGGCTGCTGCAAAGCATCCGAAATTAAATAAGTTTAACTAATATATCGCGTTTTAAGCCGTTAAAGTGTTTTATTGAAATGTACTTGCGTAAAATATAGACAGTGCTTGTAATTTTTTAAACAAATACTTAGTTAAACCTTGGGTTGGAAAACTGTCAGACTCCAAGAAATAATCATCTTTTGTCAATCAATGCTGTACAGAACAATTTATCAATTATGATGTTACCATCTTAAGTGGTACATTAAATTTACTTTGAAATTATTTAAATTTTATAATACTTTCAGGATGTTTATACTTGGTGCAATTATTGGTATGCTTGGTTGGAGTACATATTATTTATTAATGAAATATCCTATCTTGAAGATGATTTATCTAATTTATCCGTAAGTGACTTTAACTTTTTTCACATAACTAATCATGTTATAAAATATTGCACAATGTAGACATATAGTACTTACTAAGTATTATGTTGTTAATGTTGACTATACATGTATATATTTTCATATATTTTAGATCCTTGTATATAATATATCTATATATAGAATACATCTCTAAAGTACACAAATTCGCTGGTACTTTTGTGCAATATGATACATTTTTTTCCACAAAAAATCAAGCAATAAATCCTATAGCTATTTTACAATAAAATTGTCTCTCCTACAACAAAATTAACATATAATTCCATTTATAGGTCTATAATATACTTTGTACTTTTTGGATTTCAACTGGAAGCATTCCTAGAGTTAAACCACACTGAGACATTACCAATGCACAGTTGTTCACATGATCCTGAACAAATACGTTCAGAGGTTGAAATGTTAAAGGAAGATTTTAACTTGAGGGTTAAGAAGACTTTATTTCATTCAATCATAGGGGCTTATTACACAAGCTTTGTGCCATGTTGTTTTGCTCAGGTAAGGCCATTGAGATCTTGTTAGTCATTAAACCATTCTAATATGACGGTAGGACTTTTGCTAAAGTTACAATTTAAAATTGAATACAGTTTATTACTGAAATGAGTGGTGGCTAGTTTCTCTCCAGTTTCCATTTTGAATTTAGAGCCTTTCGATTTACGCATTTTTTGTTGTTCTGAGTTACTTACACGATTCGTTTGTTTCGAATAAGGTTTGCTTTACAATATATAAATATCGGTATGCTTAAAATATGTTTCAGCCTTTTCTATACTATGATGTAGTACTAGCTGCACAACAAGTTGGACTTGTATGGGGCTCTCTTTGTGGTCGTTACGCAGCGCAATTAATTCCGGCTGCTTTTTGTGATGCTCCTCATAGAGCAGCCAGGCATTTAGGCTCGTGGCAGCTTGAAGGTTTGTTTCTTCTACACACTTCTTTGATACTTTGATCGAAATCTAAACAATTTGTTTTATCTGAAAATTTTGAATGACCTGTGATTATTGTCTTATTTTATGTGTTCCTAAAATATTATTTTAATGTAACAATAATTTTTTTTTTCAATTCTAGGACCAGTTACAGGTGAATCCAGTGATTTACCTTATTGGTCTGGGAATCGAATATGGTCACTTGGTTCGCGGGTTCGCATAGGTGACCAGGTATACATCGCTAATTCGCCAACAGTCGCTGCAGATCCCACAAATACAGCTCATGTTAGATTTCATGTGAGTTACTTTAATATTATTCTCTACTAACTTGTCCATTTGGGGTCTTATGTCGTATTTTAATGTAGTTATTTTAAAATAAACATTATAACATATTATGTATTAATAGTGCCTTCTAAAGCTAGCTTTAGAAAACTCTAGTTAAGAATAAAAAAAATAGTGATGTTTTATGAAAAAAATAGTATTTTTATTTTATTTTCAGGGTAGGTTTTGAATCATCTTTTTTTGCAGTAACTTTGTCACAAATCAAATTGTATTCAAATTGCTTTAAATCTTACGGAGGTAAAGGCCTCACATACCATAGGTTAGTAGCCGGGTTGAGTGCATCTAATTAATTATATTTCCTTCTATTCCAGACTGTGTTCAACAATCCATCAAAACTACTGTGTCTGCTGGTTTGCTTGCAGCTGTCACTAGTACTTCTACAGTTATGTTTATTGTTCAGCTCAATAGTGTGGCATTACTTCTTGTCAATAGTAGTCTTATTATTTATTAACTATTATTCACTTTATAAGATGCTCCGAGACTATCTTGTCGCATGGAAAGTTTACAAAGCAGAACATTTAATTCAAGACAAAAACATTCAAACAAATTAGTTGATTATTTCTGCTATGAGACATTAGTACTTAAATTTTGGAAAAAAATACTTTAGTTCCTTTATTTGATCATGATATCTAGTCATCATATTTTATTTTTGCCCATGGAAAATTGCCTAATTTAAATTTAAAGATGTAGATTTACTCATTGGAAAAAATGGCACAAAAAAATAGTTTGGGAGATTGTGTCAATTGTCTGGACAAACAAAGGATCTGTTAAGCATAATTTTAATAAAACTACAATTATTAAAATATCTAAAACATATTCTTTTTAATATAATGTTTATTGCAGTTATAACCCATATCCCTATTTAACACGAACCCATGAGGATGTTTTGCTATCATTGATTTGCACTTTCATTGATTTCATTTTGTCTCTAACCACATCACATGCAGCCAGTAGTTCTTTGTCTTTAGTTTTCAAGGCATTAGATCTCACTGTATGTCTGAATTCTATTAAAGTATCAATTACAGAGTCGGAAATAGCTTGTTCTGTTGAATCTTTCAATTTACAGCCAAATTTTGTTAACATATCCACTACATAGTCAGCAATAAGAACCACAGACACTGGGTAAAAGTTATTAGTATCTAATTTCATTATAGTATGTGCATTACTAATTAAATTAAGCATTGAATTAATACAAGAAGCTGTATCAAAATCATTTTTAAGGGCTTCTAAGTTCTGCTCTTGAACATTTTGTAGACTACTGAGCAATTTGTAATTATATGTGCTTTTGTCTATGGTACTATTATTAACATATATATGGACATCTTGAAGGAAATATTTAAACTTATTGATTATTTCTTGTCCCATGCTCATCATCTGTTCACTGTATTCCATAGGATGCCTATAATTTGATAGAAGACAGGCCATTCTAAATGTGTCAGCACTGTACATCTCCAATAACTTTGATATAGATATTGTATTTTGTAATGACTTTGACATTTTTGTCTCTTTAAAATTTAAATGACCAACATGAATCCAATAATTGGCCCACTGCTTGGTTCCATGGAATGCGCATGATTGTGCTTCCTCATTTTCATGATGAGGGAATTTTAAGTCAATTCCCCCTGCATGGAAGTCCAATTGAGAACCAAATATTTTGCTGACCATTGCAGAGCATTCAATATGCCAACCGGGTCTTCCTTCACCCCAAGTTGTTTGCCAGCTGGGTTCATCAGGCTTGTACCCTTTCCAAACAGCAAAATCCATCTTATTTTTTTTAACCTGATCACTGGGTTCTCCACTATCTTGGATTTGTTGTAATTTACCATATATTGAAAACTTGCTTGTGTCAAAATAGACTGAACCATCATGAGTTACATAGACCAAATCTGAATCTAATAAACCCTGTATAAATTTTTCTACAGCACTCATATTATCAGATACACGTGATATTATCATAGGTTTCTCTATATTTAAATTTGCCATATCTATCCAAAATTCCTGTTCAAATGCCTTTGCAACTGTTCGGTAATCTGTTTTTGTTTCTTTGGCCTTCTTTATTATCTTATCATCAATGTCTGTTATCCCCATAGCAGTTACAAGCTTCATATTAAAAACATTTTTGAGAATTCTTTGTATAATATCAAGTTTGACATAGCAACAGGCGTGTCCAATATGAGCACTATCATATACTGTTGGACCACAAGAATACCAGGTAGCTATTTTAGGGTCATTTAAAATAATCGGTACTCTTTCTTCCGCAACACAATTGTACACATATACTCCAACTGGATTTCCGTAAGGCATCAACCATTTTGTGTCTTTATAGGGTTTTAACTTACATATATGTGATAGATTTCTCCTGAGAAATGGAAAAGTTCTCTTCATAATTTTGTACAAGAAGTTTTTATATTTTATTATGACAATTCACAAAATATAAACACAGGGAGATTAAAGTAAGGTCATAGTCTGAGTAAATGTCATAAACGTCAAGTGTGATCTTGCGTTACAATGTTGGTATTTTAAATTATCGTCTTGTTTTTAATTGCGTGCTCATTCTTGCAGCATGCCAAGAATAATGGAAGATTCATAAAAAAGATAAGCTTTTATCACAAAGATGTTAGATAGACCGAGTTCAAATACGTAATAAATTTAAAGGATCTGTAGCAATTATCTTAAACTGTGCTGTCACTGTCACATTACCAAAAGTCAATGTTATGAAATCAAATAAGAAATATTGTGATAAGGTAAACATTATTAGTATTATAGTTTAATATTAAAACTTGTTGTAAGGCAGTATTTTAAAGTAAGCTCCTAAATTGAGTCAAAATGGTTACTTTTGCACCCGATGAAATTGGGTTAGTAGATCAAACGTCTTGTGCAGCAGTACGGGCAGATCTTAAGTCATGTTTGCTAAATAGTGACTGCTGTAGAAAGGTAATATAATACTTTATTATATATTGAAGGGTAAATACATCAACTATTAAATAATGTTGCAGGATAAAAAGACACCACGAGAGTGTTTAAAAGAGGGTAAAGTGCCTGCAGAATGCATACAGCTGCGACAAAGTTTCTTTGAATGTAAGCGGTCCTTGGTAAGTATAATAAATATTTCTCAGGAGAAGCAAAACAAAACTGCCGCTAATCTGAGTAAATTTATTCAATTATTAAGATATTCAGTCCGTTATTTATAGTTCAGTCTTTTTATGTATTTGAAAAAAATCTCTATCTGATGTGATGTTATAAAAAGTTAAAGATGGATACTTGTACTGTACTTTTGTTGCAGCTCGATACTAGAAGAAGATTCCGAGGCCTTAAGGGTTATTAATCAAGTTATGGTTGTTCCAAACTTATAGTGAGAATTTAATATTTAATAATTTAGCTAATAAATTTTGTTACTGTAGTTAAATGTTTTTAACTGTTTTTTTTGACCTTATAATAAAAAAAGGGTAAATTTACTTACTGTTAAATACTTCATAGCTATCATGAATACTTATAGTAAATAAATAACACAGTTTTTAAATACATTTTATTATAAAAATAACTGAAATACTTAATTTTAAAACTTGGCCTGAAAAGTAGCTTTAAAGCTAATTGAAAATTTAAAGACCTACTTGCGAATTGTTTAAAAGCTCTAATATATTTAACATGATTTAAAGTGTAATAAAAGGGTCTTGTAAATGTCCTAAAGATGTTAAAATTTATCTATGTAGTATTTGTGTATGATTTTTAAACATAAATAATTCTTGTAATTAGTGTAAAATTAATTAAGATAATTTGATTTACAAGACAGTAAGTTCTACTTAAAGTCACATAAGATAATTTATATATTTTTATCATACAAGTCGACTTATTCATCTTGGACAGTCAATGATAAAGTGAAACTCAATATTACTGCATTATTGTCAGGACCATATCGCTACATTTTTTAAGTTATGTATCTTTTACAAGCCTATTCAATTGCTTCTTTCTCTGCCAACAATATACACTATTCTTTAACAAACTTAAAATATGTTTTTTTTTATTACGTATCATAGGCGGTGAAATTGTGAATGTAGGCTTTAGATCAAATTCTAATTGTGCGTTAAAGCGTATTAAAATCTCGAAATTGAACAATACTTATTTTAATCTCTACATCTACTTAAATTGACTAATTTAGCACCATAGCAAAATATACCAAGAACAACGTGAATTTCATTTCTAACTGGTGCCCGTCTCACAATCGCTTGATTTAAATTAAAATAAAGAAAATTCTGAAATAGAATTAACATATTCAAAACTATGCATTTCTTATGGTTCATTCACAAATCTGCAGACTGAATATTACTTCAGTTATTGGTGACTAGGTAAGGCATACACAATCATTCATTTTACGCCATGTCTTGAAAAAGGTACATATGTATTTTGCACCATTCGGCAAAAATTAAAATACGGTAGTACATTGTTTGTGTGTGCATTACCTAGGTTTATAGTTTAAAATCCCATGACACGATAGACATTTTATGATATGTATGTAGATATGCGGATTTTATCACGAAAAATGCTTACTTCTACATGAAATATTGTGTAATATTATGTAAACAAAACTATAGTTCCTAACTAAAACCTTAGAACTATAATTTCTTAGTTCTATAAAAAAATATAGTTAAATAATAATAGAACATACTTAGTTTGTTTTGGCAGCATATTGTGTAGGTAATAGGATTTGTTAGTGTCGTATTTAAATGCTGCATTATCTACTTGTCTTATTTGCAAAACGAACTTTTTAAAGTCAAAATAACGCTCTACAATAATTAATAAGGTCTTATCTGTAATATTGTCTAAAAATATTTATTGCTTAATTGAACAAAATATTGTGCGAGTGAGATTTGTTAAATTTCAAAGATTACTAAGGTTAGTATATCATTGTTTTTCGGGCTGTTCGACCGACGTGAGCTGGAAAAGGTTCTCGCTCTTTCGCCATCACGAGCGGACTGCGGATGATGCTCATCAGGAGATGTTGTTAACCCCTCGTTGCTCAAAGCTCTTCTCGCTCACGTCGGCTGAACAGCCCGAAAAACAATGATGTGTTGAACGAAGGCCGTGAAAGCCTTACACAATTTACTAAGGTTAGTATTTAAGAACTTTCATTTATCGATAAAGGATTTAAAATTACGTATAGCTAATTAGATTTAATCGAAATTGGCACTGACCAACATGAGTTTGCTTCAATTGACGCCATATTAAAATACGAATTAGATAAGGAATCTTAATTGCTTTGGTCCTTTGCAGCTTTTACTTAATTACACGGCAGTTCACTAGGAGATACCTTTATAAAATGTTTTTACATATTACTTTTAAATATAAGATAATTTTATTAGGCCAAAACTCGTTTAATCATTACAGAAATCACTCTTGTTATCGATTACATGATTATAAAACTAATAATAAGACACAACCAAATATTCATTCTCTAAAGATATCTCTTAGTTATTAGGCCATCGAGGCCTCGTCGCTACTAAAAAGTCTGTATGGGTCGATACAGCCCAGTGTAACCACACAGCCTGGCCCGTAAGGCAGTAATTAACATAGCGGCGCCCGAGAGGTCATCTAACAGATTAGCACATTCGCAGACGAGGAGGTACATTTTGTCGCCGTGCGTGGCCACTGATTTGTGAAGGGCGATCTTCCTCATGCCCACGGAGTGAGGCAGATGTCGGTAAAGCATCCTTGCGCCAGTCCAGTACAGCCAGTTTCTCTCGAAACGCTCACCATCGTCACCCTCGAATACCTGAAATTAAAATTAGTATTTGAAAACTTTTACATGCACATGATGATATTATATTAATTTAAGAGGTGCCAATATCAATTTTTTTAAAATTTTTTACGATGACGTGTAGGACAAGGTAGCTCAATTGGTTAGATCAACAGCACGGCATGCTGTAGGCGCCGTTTTAAGTCCTGCCTATGTTAATCGAAAACCGTTTTTTAATTTATATAAATTGAGATCTTTACACGATGATTGTCAGACTAACAAATCTGATGAGGATGACTGATGTTAAATTTAAACTACAAGGAGCGAAACTGAAAATTATATTATATCTGAAAACTGTCTAAACGTCAGGTTTAATAACCGCCTTTTAACTAGGTTATTACGTCTGAATGAGAAAAGTATCACTAACCTTGTATACACTAATTATAAATCCAGTGCCAGGGGTGTGGGACTTCTTCGGTCCACCAGCTAAGTCATTGAACGGAGGTCGGCATATCATCGCCACTTCGCTGTATAAATCTAAAGTGTGCGCCGCTGAGTAACGTATAGTTTTCGGATCAAACTTGGATAATGAAGCGCATCTCATGTTATTATAGAAGAGTAGTGGATCTGTTTGCGTAGTGTTTATAACATAGTATGATATGAATGGAAATTCTGCGTTCTTTTCCATGTTAGCCAGGAGCATACCACCGACGGCGGTATTCGCTTGTGCGACGTCATTTAATAACTCGCCAGCGGCTGTTTTCTGTCTGGCCAAGGGTTTGGCAAGTGGAGATTCTAATATAGGCTCTATAGGTTCTAGGGGGCTCATGAGATGAGCTAATATGCAAAGCTTTGGGTCCGCTACTTCGAGGACGCTGAGAGAGCTCGGCGCGGTTTTTGTTGCCATGCCCTTTTCTGGTGTAGGAGGAGGCACTGGTAGCTGAAATTACCAATTTATGAACTATATTATTATATCAATAATATGCTTTTGCGCTCGAATGAACGTACGATTACAAAAATAAAGGTATTTTATCAGGCATAGCTGTTCTCATCTAGCGTGTTTAAGTCCAGGTTTTATAATATATTTATTGAAATAAATAATATGCATTGAAAAACGTCTTTAGACGTAAATGAATGGATATACCGGTACGCCATCAGGTAGGAACCGTTCGAGGGCATGTGCCGGTATCACGAAGCAGTCTCTCTCCAGGGTCGCCAGGGACACCGGTTCCGTCCGTCGGCGCTCCGTGGTCGCAGGTCTGTCCCATCGCAGTAAGGAGACAGATGGTTCCCGCGTGACGAGCGGCTGAGGGGGTTCCAAATCGGGACCGGTACCACCACCGAGAACTGGTCCACATCGTTCTGAAACCATATTTGTGTCATAATTAGTATATTAAGATGACTTTACGTAGACATTTACGCCATTTTGTCTACGTTGATCTGTGAATGTCATACAATGTTGACTAAGAAATAATAGCAATGTTAATTAATTTTTTTATTATTATTTAGTTTTCTATGTTTAAGCTTATTATTTACTATTGAACTATAACCAAAACAAAGTAAAAGTAAATTATATATGTATAATATTGTAATTAAATAACTGAAATCAAAAACTAATACATCTAATGGAATATGTTGTAGGTAATTTTTGTAGGATCTATTTTGTCTTGCCCTGGTGCAATACTTGTTTGGTTTATTAATTTACGAAATAGTTAAAATATTTGTCAGCGAATGTGACATTCCTCTCAAAATAGTGAACACGTTAATATTTCGCGACGCGTAATCTAGGCGCGGCTCGTTAAAACACACCTATTTAACCTACCTCTAAAAGTGATATGAAAAACATAGATCGTTATTTCAAATGGCCACTCTACCTTAACGATAGAAAAATGAAAAATCACGATTTTTATTTTAAAATATATTTATGAGTGCGCTACGCACTTCAATTAAATTTACTCGCGTAACTGTGACGGAAAATTTATGTATTTTAATTTTTAGGGTAAAAAATAAATATAAAACATCCATCACAAGTTTATTTTGTTTTATAAATAAAGTACGAAACTGTAGTGTTATTTGAAAACAAATAATTCAGAAAATTAGGTGAACACCACAAGTGTAAATAGAAAAATAATTACGACACATTCGTCTCCCACGAATACACACAGCACGACAGCTTGCTGAAGTATTTATAGACTGTCTAGCTAGAATCGTGTTAGTGATTACCAATTCAATCACAGTTATCGTGATATAATTTAGACCTGTCAACTTCAGAATTACATGCTTTGAAACATGCGTCCTTCAGACAAGAGTCAGGCACAAGAAGTACTCCGAAAGATCGGAAATAAACAAACTTACTTCACGGAACCCATACGCGTACTCACTATTGGAACTACGATCCTTACTTCCAGAGTTACCTGAGCCATCGTTGTACTGTGTACTGGCCCTTGGTGCTGAGAAGAAAAGATGCGTTCTGTAATGGTGTTCCTCCATGCATGAGAAACGGTCGCGGTCCCTGCGTTTCGCGTTCCTGCCTGCACCGAGAGCTCCTTTAGCCTTCCCCCCCGCCCCCACCACTCGAGACCGTCTTCTCCGAACTGAAGTTTTTCCGAAACATCAAATTCATCTTGGACGACTGCCACAGCTGTCCCTTTCGCACTTATTTACGTTAGCTAATTAGCTAGATGCAAACCAATTAATTTGGCTATGTTCAGAAGCGTTCCCCCTTTGCGTGGTGTTTATTATAGTTTTGAATGGCGTCGGAGCATGGTTTCTGGTAAACATTATGGTAAGACAACTTTTACGAGGTGACTGAATGTCAACGCTGGTAATCATTTTTGTGGTATTCCATTTTTAAATGTCATTTTATTTGTAGCTAACTCAAATAAAAGGATCATTTACAGAAGCTATTAATAATATGTGTTTCTTAAACATATGATAAACATTTCATTGGCAAGATAATGGAAATATAATGGGCACGCAATTACGATCTTTTGAGCTTTTATTACAGAGGTTATACTAAATGTTGATTGCTGGAAGGCTTAATTTTATTTTCTTGCGTCTTAAATCACTGACTTTTAAATAATTTTGTACCAAGTCTATTTTATTCCCGGGTTACAGTACAAATATAACGTAATCAAGGCATATATGGTTATGAACTTAAGAAATATACATTTTTTATACATTTTTTTTTGATAAATAGATAAAGTTGATATTAGTACTGTACGTTAAACAGAGTAAGCAATACTGTGGGATTTTATACGTTGATTCTGGAGAAACTGAAGAGTTTCTACGGATATTTGATATTCAATTCGGATAAAAGCTTTGCTGGAACCTAGAAGTTGTATAAACTCTCTGATATCCTTAACTGTTTTTAACATATAAGTTATCGCGACTTTACTTAATGTATACTTCGTATACTATTGTTTTTTATAATACAACAAAAGATGACTGAAGGCACTTGTTTTTTTTATGTACTAAAAACTAGTAGAATAGTTATTTTAGAAATTCAAATTTTCCAACGTATCTTCATCTTTTAAACATTTAAGGTTTTATCCACGACATTTGTCGCGTCCCGTCCTTCTTGCAAGTTAATCTTAAAAGATAGACATATACTGTGGCGGACATTTTTTTGGTTCATTTAAAGAAGAATCATTATTAAATACTGTCTATAGTTTACGCGAGTAGTGCACATTTAAATAAAACACTTTAACGGTTTAAAACGCGATATATTAGTTAAACTTATTTGAAAATGATTTTTAACTTCGGCCCGACGTTTCGGATGCTTTGCAGCAGCCGTGGTCGCAGGGGAGACTAAAGATGGAGGATGTCTCTGACGTCAAAGTAAAAAATTGCTACGCTAGCGCCATCTGTTCCGTCGAAGTTGGTATTTGGCGAAACTGGCCGGGTCCTTACAGAATTGACTAACGGTGTCTTCGCGTTTGCTGGTATGCTGTTTATTGGGATCCAGAGTTTTTAATATGGGATCCCAGGTGTTTGAAGTGAGCGTCCCCTTTGAATTTGTTTTGGTTTCAATTGCTTCGCGTACCAATCTTGGAAAAAAATCATTATTTCATACACAATTTTTGGGTGACTTAAACCGTTTTCGCAGCGCACGCATCGGAAACCCACAGAGATTAATAATTTCCCCGTAAGCCTTGCCTTGTATTGCCTTCCTCGATAAATCGCTCTCATAATCACAAAAACAATATTTCAATTTGAAGCATTACATCCTGAGTTCCAATTATATGATAATATCATATAAACTGAAGTTATCTTCAAATTTCGCGTTAATTTATCGAGCTGTTTTCAATTTATGATTCAAAGTTAAACTTTAAAACGAACTATGTTTTTCTTAAAATGATTCGTACAATGCTAAACCCGCTATCTCTTGTCACTTTAGTACTATTTTTGCGCGAAAGTGGTGGTAAGCCTCATAAACTGTTTGATTTACACCGATACATTCTACATTTATTGTACGATCAATCCCGATACGTTTGAAGAAAATTATTTTCTCTCTTTCCTCTCGTGTAAAAGCTTATGTACCTATAAACTTTTATATAATTTATGGTTCAATAACATTAATTTCATATAAGTACTTGGGCGTTAATTTATTCGTTAATTGATCTTAATATAAAACTATACTAATATGGAAAAGTCTTACTACTTTCTCAATTCTACAGAGAGTAGTGGTAAGAATGATAAGAAGCTTTTATAAATAAATGTCTAGTATAGATTATAATACGTACAGCAATAGGCAATAGATTATAAAAATGACAGTAAATATAAGCGTAGTTATATAAGATATATAACCACGCTCCATCCAGTTGGCACGCCTAATTACTAATGCAACTAAATTATTGTTTAAACCAGGACCGATGATCTACAAGCCGAATCAACATTTCGCTGCCCCGGAAATCGACCCCAGGACTTGTAGCCAAGTATAGGGCAGAATAAAAAGTATCTCATATTTATATAATACACTTTTAACGGTTTAAAGGTGAAATGACAGCCTGACGTTTCAAATGCTTTACAGCAGCGTACATGTCAGCATGCATTCCACGTTTCAAATCGTTAAAAATGTTTTTTTTTTTAAATATAAACTACTTGTGTAAACTACAGACAGTACTTAAGTAGCTCATAGAGAAAAACGGGTTATTTGGTTACCTTAAATGCTAAAAAGGAAACAAATTGTATCACTTTAAACTAATCGACTTTAATAAAACTCGTAATGTTTTATGAATGGCGTTCTTTGCGCTTTTGTGCAACCTTGGTGGGAAGGCTATTAACATAGATTTTTTCATGCTCAGATAAGAATCAACTTGTGCATTTCAGGCTTTTCCAACATGAAACAACTGATAAAGCACTGATTTAAAAACAATTGCAATCATGATTATATTCACATTGCTTTGCACATCATGATCACGCGAAAGCCTAATTAAGTGCTAAACCGTAAAAACTGTTTTATATATGAAAAGTACGGGGAAGAACGGGGTTTACTTGGTTTTAGGTGAATATTACTTAAATAAAACACTTTAACGGTTTAAAACGCGATATATTAGTTAAACTTATTTGAAAATGATTTTTAACTTCGGCCCGACGTTTCGGATGCTTTGCATCAGCCGTGGTCACGGGGAGACTTTTCAAATAAGTTTAACTAATATATCGCGTTTTAAACCGTTAAAGTGTTTTATTTAAATGTGTACTACTCGCGTAAACTATAGACAGTATTTGAATATTACTTATTTATAAATATCCATACAGACTCTAAACAAGGTGCGCGGTGGACCTATAGCTTTAACATTCAGTAATTGAAAATCCGAAATCGAAACGTGATTACTTTCGGATTTTCCATTAAATTAAAAAATTGTTACCCGGCGGGAATATATTTTCACATACATATAGACATATGCATAATTCGACAGCGTATCTTGTGTAAATGTGAATCATTAAGCGAGCCCCATGTTTGTCAGTCGTCCTGTGTTATAAATTGCTACCATGGGATCAAGGAGTCCATACTCCTTGTAAGTTTAAAATTTTAAGAAAAGTCCGATTTTCTTAGTCACTCAAAAACTTCTTTATATCGATATGTATATGACGTATGTTTAAGTAGCGAGCCAATTAGTTCATTTTATGTGTCTCTGGCATGAATGGTTGTCAATACCTAAAGCAAAGTAGTGAAATTTATTAAAATTATTCATAAAAGTTAATGAGGTAAAATGTAACAGTCGTAGTTTATGGAAGAAGAGATAAAAATACCACTGAGATAAATTCTTCTAGTAATTAAGTCGATATAAGAGATAGACGATTTGATTACACCCTGGCACAAAGGCAGCTTGAATGAATGGAGATAAAAGGCGATTCTCTCTCTTAAACTGTAGAGTTTAACGCTGATCGAATTTTAATTATTGTTTAAAGACATTTTATTTTGAAAACTGAGCAATTTTAACATCACTGCTTTCTTATAATTGGCGTCCCAGCCGAGAAATATCATACAACTGTTGTAGGAGAGCCAGTGCATTATAAAAGTTATTATAAGTAAGACAAACGGCCAAACATTCTCCCACACGTGTGATGGCGAGGGTACCGACACCACCTACCTCAAACTTCAGTCTGGTACTTAAAATTGAACATGCTTAACCGGGAGTCGAACATTGGACCAGGTAATCTGTGTTACCTAACCACTAGATTACAGACAGTCCAACTAGTTTGTCGTATCCAGACTACGTTACAATCAATATAGTTTATTATACGTAAACGATCTCTTCGTTCTTTGTTTGGTATTTATTATATACCCTATAGTTTAATTGTAACTTGACACAAAAGCATCTATCACGTGTTGTATCTATTAAAATTTATCGATTTTCTATTCAAAGGCACCATTAGTTCATATTACATAATGTAATTACTAACATTGATATTGTTTTTCTTTGTATATGTTAAAACCTAATACGTATCTTATAATTGAAAACTTTTGAAAATATTACCTTTCTATAAAAATGTGTCAAAACCATTTAAAAGTTTTAACTACCGTCAAAGTGATTTAAAATAAATCCAACATTGTAAGTATAGTAACACAATATTATATTCCAATTTCTTAAATAAAATTCTGGAGGTCCTTAAGTACTTATTTCAGCATCTGCGCCTGTACAAGAATCTTCGAAAGTTTGGGAACTACCCTAATAAAATAGACGGTACCTAAAATATTTATTACTAAGATTTCAAAGAATAAAAAGCTAAAAAAACATACATAGCTCTGAAATAACATTATATTATGATAATATATGTCCCGGCCATTTTTATAGATAATTTGAAGATAAATCATGCTTCATACATATTTGTTAGGTATTTTAAACGAAAGCTTTATAAAATTAGTATAGATTACTTGAATATTGTATATTTTTGATGTTTAAAACCTGTCTTCATTTTTATTGAAATACATTCGGAAATACAGCAGCTTCAAATATAAGAAAGTGATTTTGAAGAATAAATCTTATACGATAATGTTAAGTAGACGGCCTGAGTCAGATACATGGTGTGCGAGGTCGCGCAAATTTACTGGAAACTGATAACGCTGATAATGCCTTTTACCCACGAGATGATGAATTAATATACTTAAATGATATGAGACCTAAACGACTTTTAAAATGTTCACTTAGAGGACATTAGTTGTTTCTTTTATTTAGGAACGTTGACTAACGACGACGAGAGATTTGCTTTACGTATAATTCACGTTTTGAGCAGATTTGAAGTATAAGTTTATGTTATGTTATTTCCATTTTTTTTTAAACAATATCCGTATTTGTTTATTTATTTATGAGTCCTATAAGGTAATA